CTTTCCCTTTTTCTTGGGGGGAACCTTTCCCCCCCTGTGGTTGGATAAATAGGGAGCTGAGGCAGGATGTACTAAACAAATGACAAGAAAGCCCACTGGAAACAATGGGAGATGCCTGAAGGACCATTGAATATAATGGGGGCAAGGAATGCTAACTGACTGAAAATGCTTTAGAGACCTGCCCTGGGCCTGGAATGACTGCCCAGAGTGGGCCCAGATGGACTGCTCTGGGACTGGAATAACAGCCCCCAGAATGGAATGTGCTTCCTGAGGCAGCATATGTATACTATGTGTGGAATGACAGGCCCCAAAGTGGAATGATGGTCCCTGGGAGCAGTGTTCCCTCTAAGCTGAGTTAGTGTGATCTGTGCAAATTTAGTGCCGTTATCTTTATAAACAGCTGTGCCAGACTTCATATACTTTGTCCATTGAAAATAATGGTCCTGAACTCTGAAACTCAATGAAATTGCTGAGCGGTCGGGTTAGAACGGATAAAAGGAAGTACATCTTCACCCAAAGAGTGATTAACACATGGAATTCACTGACACAGGAAGTGGTGGCGGCTACAAGCATGGACGGCTTCAAAAGGGAATTAGATAAGCATATGGAGCAGAGGTCCATCAGTGGCTATTAGCCACAAGGTATAGATAGGGGCTCTGGGGCAAGTGATGCTCTGTCTTCTTGGTGCTTGGGGGGGCCAACAGTGGGAGGGCTTCTAATGTCCTGGCTCCACTAATGGACCTCCTGATGGCACCTGGTATTTTTGGCCACTGTGTGACAGAGTGTTGGACTGGATGGGCCTTTGGCCTCATCCAACATTGGCGTCTCTTATGTTCTTATGTTCTTACAAGATTTTGAATCCCCAAATGGTAATGTCTTAACTGGAAATAAGTAATCACAATAACACAGAGACCCCAGCCCAGATCTGAAGTTATAATGAAAATTTTCTCAATACACACCCCTAAAACATATCCTTCCCACCTCCTCCTGTCTTCTGCAGGCCCCTCTCTTGATTTGATTTATTTAATTTATACCCCGCCCTCGCCACCAAATCAGGCCTAGGACAGCTCTTGAGAGTTAGGGGACCCTTGTGAAAAGTGTGGGCTGTGTCTTGAGTGGAAAATCCATAAAAACTGTAGACCTCTCCTCTTATTTGAATGAAAGTGGTTTCCGCTCAATAGAATAGGGTTGCCAACATCCAGGTGGTACCTGGAGATCTCCCACTATTACAGTTACTTTCCAGACTGCAGAGATTAGTTCCCCTGGAGAAAATGGCTGCTTTGGAGGGTAGACTTTTAAGTCATTCTACCCCACTGAAGTCCCTTCCCTCCCTAAACTCTGCCCTCCCCAGACTCCATCCCCCAAATCTCCAGGTATTTCCCATCCCAGAGTTGGCAACCTACAACAGAAGAACAGCTTTGAATCCCATTGATGGAATTTATAAAAAGTCAGGGAAGGGAAGTTCTACTTGCCTAATGAAACTGAGTGGGAAGCTTGTGGTTGAAAGAGCAGAGTATTCTGAAAATCCATAAGGACTTTAGTTGCTGTGGTTTATTGCTCAGTGTTGGGGTCAAAAAAGACAGTGCTCTAAAAGTGCAGCTCAAAAATGGCAGTTGCATTAATAAGGTTCCCAATCCCCTGTATAATATCCAGTTACAGCATACCTGCATCCTGTTTCAGGTTTCCCTACCCCCTGCCAGAAGCAGCTAATAATATGAAGTAGAAAGCACAGTTATACCACTGGGCCATAATCCACTTGTTATAGATCAGTGATACTCAACCAGTGACTTGGGAGCCACATGTGGCTCTTTGACATGCCACCTGTGGATTTTCTGAGCCCCATTCCCCAATGTGGCACCCATCACAGGAAAGTAGACAAGACCATTCATTGCCCAGTAGGTTTGTAGTGACCACCTTGGAACACTAGAGGAACTGGAGGATAAGTAAGCTGTGAGCATCACTGAACTGTGGGTAAGGGATGGATATAAATTGTCCATCCACTCCTACTGTGGACACACTCATCCTCACAGACTCCATGCTCTCAACCCAGGCTAACACCCAGGCAGTTGTGTGGAGTCGAAAAAAACTGACTGCAGATAAGAGAAATTAAAACTGCCACCACAACAGCAGCCCCTGGAACAGAGCAAGCTAGCCACAATTGGGTGGTGGACTCCCCTTTCTCCACAACCAGCTTGCTCTCCTTCAGGCACCTTGGTAATCTCACTTTCTTGCTTGAGTTCCTATAGGACAGAATGAGAAGGTAGAGAAGGAAACCCTCTTCTCACTCTAGATGCACAAGGACTGGCTAAGCTTTAATAGTTGGGGAGAGAAACATCCATGGGGTGGAGGTGTTTCATCCCTTGGAAAGAGATGAGGGGGGGACAAGGTCCCTTGTTCTCACTGTATTGTAGGCCCCATCTGGATTGGGCCTGTGCTGAATTTTTGTATGGTTGAATTCATCTCTAAAATGGCATTGGCGGCTGTGTCTAGTTTGGCCCTAAGACATGGTTTTGTTCGATGGTTGAACTGAGCTGAGCCATTATCTTGCTCGTGTAGAGATGTTGCTAATGTACATTTTTCCCTCACAAAGTTCCTCCAGACATTGCTGGGTCAGAGATGCCAAGTGAAGTGAGTGTCATCATTGGGGAAAACATCCAGCTTTTCTGTAAGGCCAATGGAATCCCCTCGCCTGTAATTCAGTGGCTGAAAGATGGAAAACCAGTCAGCAGTGATGAATCTAAGCGGATAAGGTGAAGTGTTGAGATCTCTTGTTATGAAGCAAACCACAGTCCTCATAAGGAAGTAAAGTAAGGAAAGAGGAGAACGGTGACACAAAGAAGTGGAATAAAAAGTGGGAGAAAGCCAAGCCAGAGAGTAGAGTTGGTGAAGAACCCAAACAAAATTCTGGACAAGGCTTTAAGAGTGCTAGATCCATGCTGGCTTTAGATATTTTGCATTTGATACAAAACACAAATGCTATTCGGTCAATACCATTTTTGGTAACCCAACTGTATATAAGGGGCAGTCATGCTACACACAATCATGTTGCTGTATACTGTTGCCATTCTGGGTGAATAGAGCAATGTGTACTTTCTAGCTATGATATGTGCAGTCAGAAACCCAGATTTTCGAGGATATATGCACACCAGAGCATGAAAATAGCATGTTGCACTATTCACACAAAATGGCAACTGCCTGTATCAGAACTATTGTGGGTAGCATGCTCTCCTGTTCTGTGAGATTGGTGCACTGAAAACTAATCACTGAACAGGGCTTTTGAGATTTCGGATGTACTATATATGTGCAAAGAGTATTATGATAAGAACAGGCAAGAGAATATGTTCACTATATTCCATGATGCATGTGGAGGCTAGCTCCTACAAACAAAGGTTTTGAACCCCAGTGCATTCTCAGTATTTTCATGGTATCTTGCCTCAAATACTCTTTTTAGTAGAGCATAATTAATGAAATACAATGGGTAGGATCCAAACCACTGCCTGCAGAGTGAAGATGGATGGTTTTCCTGCCTCTCCACTCTTACCATAGCATACTTGACCCCCTGAAATTCTGTTCCTGGGGGCAAACAGACCTTAAGGAACATCATGGTGGACAAAGTGGAGGGGGGGCCTCCATGGCGGGTGTGGGAAATCAGAAATTGTTTTGCTTTCTCTGCTAATAAAAGAGCTGTTCCACCAGCATAACTGCCATTCTGCTGGTGGAATGTCATATTTGGATCCAACCCAATAAATGAATGGTGGTAGGAATATTTTAAATGATTCTTCAAGAGGGAGAATGGCAGCAGGGAAATTTGTGAATGGCTGCTCCACATCATTTCATTATAAAGTCAGCCCAAACTGGCTCTTTCAGTCTCAGCTCACATGAGCCGGTTCCCAGGACCAATTTTGTCAGTTGTGTATGTTGGTTGAGCAGTTCCTTAGAATGTTCATTGTGCACTGACACAAATATGTAATTTCCTCCAGCATGTTTCCAAACCACAACTCAAGCTGCATTTATCCCACCACTGTGCCGATAAACACACAACGAATTATGGCTTGCTGAGCTCTACAGAGATCCTTTCAGCTGGAATTTACTAGCTGGTTAAGTGAAATGATTGTTAACAACCCAGTTAATTGCTAACCATGTTTCTTGGGAAAAAGCCCTGTCAGTTTTAAAGGAATTTACTTCATTTATGTGCTTCAGATTGCAGCACTAAACATTCAAATGACAATAGAATATTTTCTGAGGATTTAGGTAGGAAAGCAGCTGTTCTAGCAGAATGAATCCACAGAACCTAGATCCTCTGTCATTATATCATGTTGTTGTTGTTGTTGTTGTTAACCATTCAGTTGTGTCCAACTCTTGGCGATTCTATGGGCCAGCTCTCTCCATGTTTTCCAATCTTGTACTGTTTCGTTGAGTCATTCCATGCTCAGGCTGCTGTCAACTTTTATGGTGTCTAGCCACCGTGTTCTTTGGCAGCCCGATTTCCTTTTGCCACTAACCAATCCAAGCATAATTGCTTTTTCTAGTGAGTTCTTCCGCATGACATGGCCAAAATAAGTCAGCCACAGTTTCCAAAACTAGAGATCTATGTTCAGTCACATACCCTTTGTATCAAAGTCACCTCCTAAGTATTTACATTTTCTGTACAGTCCTAAACAGAGTTATATCTGTATAAGTCTATTGAAGCCAATGGGCTTAGGGTGGCACTGTTATGGCCAAACTAGATGATACATCTAATTTATGGCCACCACAGGGACTTGCAACTGCAGAGCCCAGCGTGACCTGGGATAGGGCGATTAATAAATAGAAACAACAACAACAACAATTCCTTGTAGGAACTCAATCCCCATATGCTGTCGGGGACTAATTAATAATGCTTTCCTGGCAGTTTCAGGTAGGGAAAATGATGTGGGAGGGGCTCAAGGCCCTCCTTTCTCTGTGCCACAGTCCTAATACAAACCAAGCCTCTGTAGTGAATTGGGATTGAGCTCCCTTTCGGGACTTGTAGCTACTGTGTGCTTGCAAGTCCCTGTGGTAGCCACGAGTTAGATGAAACATCTAGTTTGGCTCTTAAAAATTTAGTTTTCTGAAATGTCTTTTCTAGTGTGGCTCCAGATGGCAGCTCATTGAACATTTTTGGGGCACTAACCAGTGATGTGGGAAAATATACTTGCATAGCTACCAATCCTGCAGGGGAAGAAGACCGAATTTTCAGTGTGAACGTATATGGTGAGTTTTGGGGTGGGGGGAGTTGTAACAGGGCAAAGGTGGAGCACCATTTGTCTTATAAGATTGTCACTGCTCTAAAAAGGAAGGATTTAAAATGTATCTTCATGTAATACGTAACTGTTGCTTAAAGTAAGATAATGTATTTTGTAGAGTAGGAGTAGGTAACACAGGGGCCTGTGGGCCGCTTGGACCCTTAAGCAACATGTGTGTGTGTGTGTGTGTAAAGTGCTGTCAAGATGCAGCTGACTTGGAAACCCCAGCCAAGGGGCTTTCAAGGCAAGTGCAAAGCAGAGGTGGTTTGCCATCACCTTCCTCTGCAGAGTCTTCCTTGGTGCCTACCCCTCCATGTAACAGCCCTGCTTCACTTCTGAGATATGATGAAATTGGACTATACCATGCCGCCTTTCCTCCCAAGCAATACATGGGGCACACAAATATTTTACTGAGATATATGTCTGGTCCTTATGATTACAAAGATACATTAGAAGCGTGAGGGCAATACTTTGATAAGGCATTGGGTTGGATCCAGAGGTCTCATTCCACTGGTATAGTGACAGTTCTGCATGCATAGTAGCACACCAGTTTTTGGTGATTCTTCCTTGCCACTGCAGACTCTCACTTTGTGCCTGACATTGTTCCCATGCATTCCTTGACTCCCTTCACCAGGTGGTTCAGTGAGCTGCAGTTGCAGGGGGGAAGGCAGAACTTTTTTACCCTCTCTACTCATCACCTTTAGATTCTGGCTGCGATTGCATTTTAGATGCACTCATAATAGCCTTATTGCCTATATGTTGAAAGATTCACATCCCTCTGCCTGGCTCTTGGCTATTGAAAAGAAAATTAATTCTATTGGCTTTAATCTGAATGATTTTGTCACTTTAACAGAGCCGGAGGTTTTTACTCTGCTTAAGCAGAGACTTATCGATATAGAAATGCAAGAGCTCAGAGCTCTTGCTTCCGGTAGGTGTTCCTCAGTTAGATGGGCCTATCCACTCTCTGGTGCTCCACCACAATATTTTTTCTCCCTGATATCACCGCAATTGTGCAGAGCTTACATGCTAGCACGGTTCAATGTTCTCCCCTCCGCCATTCTTGAGGGGAGATATAAGAAAATCCCTTATGCAATTAGATATTGCGGATGCAGTAAGAGAGAACTAGAAACAGTTGAGCATGTACTTTTATGCTGTAACCTGCTAAATGACATTCGAGCAAAATTTCTGGAAGTCCCCCTTAGCAAGGTTGCATGCCAACCGGATGGAAGCAAGCTACACTACCTCCTTACTTCCCGGGATTCGGAGATTATTGAATTGACTGCCAAGTTCTTTTATGCTCTTATAAAACGGAAAAATGTCCTTGATCATTCTAATTGAGATCAATGAGTTGCATAATTTAATTCAAGGTTCTGCGGTTGGGCAAATTTTATCTTGCTATAATTTTAAGCTTATATAAATAGCCATACCTTGTAATGCTTTTAGAAGTTATTTATTTTCCACAAATTTTATAGGATTGTTTTACCCCAATGGCAACTGTTTAATATTTTATGCCAATAAAAGGTATTTGTTGTTGTTGTTGTTGTACCCTCTCTACTTTGCTGGTAATGCTTTGCATCCAACGCATTACAGAAAGAAGTCTAACAAAGTCAAATGAAGCTTCAAATAATGTTTTGTTTTTAAAATCCTATAGTTTCTAAGAAAAATGGAAGTTCAGTCAAATTTTTCACATTCAGAATTTATTATTTTAGAATATCCTTAAAATAACTGAACACGCACATATCATGTGCTCGTTCTGCCTAAGCTAACATAGCACTGGCTTTCCCCTCTTTGGGTTGTTGCGATAAAGGCCTGACTAAGAATTAACTAATGGCCCTTTCTGTGCCAAAAAAGTTAAAAGACTCCCTCACAGGCCTACAAAGGAGCAAACTCCTGGGGCCAGTTTCCCCAAAATGCTGAATATGGAATCACGGTACAGCATACCAGGGGGGGGGGGATATGTGTGTGTGTGTGTGTGTGAAAGTATTTAAAACAAGAGAAGGTAAAGGGAATAGTCACAGGCCAACGTTCAACAAATCCAGTATTGAAGAATGAAAAGCATAAACAAGATTACAATGAGAAACACAATATATTTTAGAAATCTCTGATGAAACTATCCATTTCCAACCTCTGGAGGTATTTTTTCAAAGACTTTAGAAACCAGACAATATTTCTTCCAACTGAAAGTCCCTCTAGCATTTTTCTTGATGGCCAGGCCTAATTATATCTTCAGTACAGTTGCTACTATTGAGTTTACCTCAGGACTGCTGATTCTTCTCATTCAGAGCCCCACAGGCTGCTCTGTTATGCCTCTTTAGCTAGGGACATCTAAATGGCAGTCAACAGTCAAGATACAGTTTCTGAAGCAATTTTATCTGGCCCCTAGTAGCCCTACCAACATGCTGTCAAATTACGAGAAGCACAGTTTCCACATTTGGATGGTTACATTTCTTTGGTTTAGTATGTAAATATGTGCTCCATAACTACGAAGTGTTTTCTGCTTGATGCCAACTTTATTATGGAACTTGACTGCTCCAGGCCCCAGATCAGGTCTGGATATTAGATTATCTCCCAAAATGGCAGAAACTGGTAACCTGTTAGCCTCCTAGTGTGGTTTTCATCTCTCCTGGTATCCTGAAAATGTGGCAAGAAGGGACTTTGCTACAGCCTTTTCTGTGCTGAAAAGTTGAGAAGCGCATGAATGGTGGCTTCCAAAAAAGCAATACTCAGTGGGATATTATGGCACTACGTAACTGAAGGATACAATTGCTTAAATGTTAAGACACAATCATTATTGCTTGTACCTCCTTTGATAGATTAAACAGGAACTGCTTGCTGGCTACAAACACAATTTTTAGAAAGATTTATAAAGCAATTCAGCATGACTTGCAGTTGTCTGGCAAGAGAATTGCATGGGGGTTGGGTTGCTGAGTGCAACGTTTGGATATTATTTAGCTTGGAACACTATGGGGAATGGTTTTCTTGGATGGGAAAAGTTGTATTTCTGCCATCTTGGGGTTCAGGACAAGGTGAGCTGCTTCCTCAGGAATAATTTCATACACTGACCATTTAACTTTTTTCTCCATTTATTTTCCCTACCTGTTTGGCTGCCAAATGTAGTTCCGCCAATTATCACTAAGAATATGGATGAGCCAGAGTCTGTAACCGCCATACTGGACACTTCAGTAAGCATTCAATGTCAAGCTGTGGGCACTCCTCCTCCACAGATAAACTGGCTAAAGAATGGGCTTCCTCTTTCTATCTCCTCTCACATCCGACTTCTCTCAGGTGGACAGATTCTCAGGTAAGATTTCAAGTATTTAAACTTTATTCAGTCTCAGTCCTTGCCCATTAGGTCAGCAAATAAGACTGATTTGATGGATCAAAGTATTATTATTATTATTTATTTAATTTATACCCCACCCTATCCCACAAGTGGGCTCAGTGCAGCTTACAACCCAAGATTCATAAAACAATAAAACCAATAAAACAACAGATGACACAATAAACAATAACAGATATCAAGGGATAAGACGAGGGCCTGTTCCAGGTTTTGGGGAGCCCCAGGCAAAGAGTGCCAAGCCCCCCCATCCCTCTGCCCACCACCAGCCTCCTCCTTCCTTTCCCCCACCTGCCTGTGCATCTGCCCACCACCAGCACTCACAGCTACCCTTACTGCCTGCAGCTGGGAACGCCGGTGGCAAAGTGCTTGCAAGCCAGCAAGAGCAGGAAGGGCCCCCAGGCAGGTGGCAGGGGAGGTGCATGGGCAGGGAGCAGATGGCAGTGGGCCCCATTCGAAGGCCCCACCTCAGGGTATGCTAATACCGGCCTTGTGGAGGACTATTTGCTCGAGGTGACTGGTTCTGAATTTTCTCTGTTTGGCTCTGATATTAATTCTCCACAACTTTTATCACACACAGTGTATTTTTTCAGGCTTTGTAGAGCTCCTTGTGCCCCATGTTCCTGACATTAGGGCTAGTAGTTCTTAAAGTTCTTAAACAGCTTATGAAGGGAACAAAAGGCATATTTTGATAACAACAGACGAGATTGGGAGGAAGGGGAAAGTAAGATCAATAAATTTCATAGGAGTTTGTTACACTGGCATCCTGTCCTTCTGTGAAGAATCCTGGACAATCTCCTTCCAGGCCTGCCTTCCGTTGTACCTCTTTGGTAGCCCATTGCTTTGATCTGCAAAATTCTAAGGGGAGGTAAAAGGACTGAAGGCGGTTTGGTCTACTGGCTCTCTAGTGAGTAGGGAGTTCTTCCAAACAGATCTAGTTCTTCTCTCTCAGCCTTAATTATAACAGGTTTCAGCAAACTGTAGGCTTCTTAATTGTATGTTATAAAAATGCAGGTACTTTGGTAAACTAGAGAGCGAGTTTGGTGTAGTGGTTAAGTGCGCGGACTCTAATCTGGGAGAACTGGGTTTGATTCCCCACTCCTCCACTTGCACCTGCTGATGTGACCTTGGGTCAGTCACAAGCTCTGGCACAGCTGTTCCTGAAAGGGCACAGCTGTTCCTGAAAGGGCAGTTTGTGTCAGAGCTCTCTCAGCCCCACCCACCTCACAGGGTGTCTGTTGTGGGGAGGGGAAGGGAAAGGAGTTTGTAAGCTGCTCCGAGACTCCAAGTGAAGGGCGGGGTATAAATCCAATCTCCTCTTCTTCTTCTTCTGGTGGAAATTTCTCTCTAAAGAGAAAGGACTGAGGAACTACCACTGAGAACAGCTGTCTATGTACCCTTATAATTCAATGTAGTACATGAATAATACTTTCCAAAAGTTATATTCAGCCATTTTCAGAAATTGCAACAGATCACAGAAAGAAGTCGTCCCCACCCCAAGATCATTCTGTGGAAATCAGAGCTCAGACTTTCCCTTTGACTAGCTGACTATCTTGTTTTTTGCCATTATATCACAGCTAACTTATAGCGATCCCATGAAGAGACATTCAAAGGTGGTTTGCCAGTGCCTGTCTCCACATCATGCCCCTGGTATTCCTTGGCGGTCTCCCATCCAAATACTAGCCAGGGTCAACCCTACTTAGCTTCCAAGATCTAAGAGATTAGGCTAGCCTGCGCTATCCAGTTGAGTCAGTTGACTATCAAAAGGTACTAAAGGTTATAGGCAGACCCTGATGAGATGTTATTTTTATTAATATTTTTAAGTGTGCATGTATCCATATATTTTATACAATTCATAACACTTCATTTTCTGTATATTCTCCTCTATCAAGAAATCATATTAAACATTGAAAGCATATAAATAATCTCCATCCTCATTATCTTATTCCATTTCTTTACCTGCTTAACCAAACCACTGTACAACTTCATATTCTAAACATTATTAGATTCTTCCTTAATTTATCTTAGACTTGTTAACTTCTGTAGCTGGATTCCCTCCATACATACTTATTTTATACTTATACTGTGTCTTCTTCCAAACCTAGAAAGAAAAGTTGAACAGGGTTGCCTCCGAAACCCTCCTCCCTTTGATCGGAGGTCTTGGGGGGGCACACCCTTCCCCTCCTTGCTATGCCGTTGGTTTAACAGTTCCATTCCTATTTTCTATTTTTTATTATTATTATTAGTATTAGTAGTAGTAGTAGTAGTAGTAGTAGTAGTAGTAGTAGTAACATTTATCCTATCTATTAACCCTATCTTATTCTACATACTAACATGCTAACTCTAACTTACTTTATGAATTGCTTTCTACCACTCTGCTACCAAACATAATGTCTCAGTTCAAACACTTTCATTACTTAATTTAGTTACTAAATTTTTCCCTGTAATCTCATTAAAAGATGTAAACATTTTGCTTTCCAAATTAATGACTAGATGTACAAGGGGCAGCCATCTATACTCAATTCCTTTATCTCTGAGGATTTTCACTGTTTCCCTGAGACTTCTTCTTGCAATAATTACCTCCACTGGAATGTCAGGAAACAGATATACAGTTGTGTCCTCCAAGCTCAGTTCTTGCTTGTCTCTCACGATTGCAAAAAGTTTATTTTTTTTTCTGCAGCTGTTTAAACTCAACAATTATGTCTGGAGAAGCATTTTCAGGGGCCTTTTTGGAGATGTTTAGCTGGAAGGCGGAGCTGATGGTACTCCTGGTACTCCTGCTTTGAGAAGGATTTGAGTCAGCCATTTGTTTAAAGCTGCAGAGAGATTTTCTTTTTCAACAAAGTTTACAGATACTCCACGTAGTTTAGCTTTCTTCTCTCTCAGTTTTGCTTCCTGGAGTATAATTCTATTCTTAGCCCATATGTCAAATTCTTTAAATTCTTTGATGTCTTCTGCATTCTTTTTTGCTGACTGATGTGCTGATTCAGCTTTCCTCTGTCGTTTTCAATGCTGCAGTAAGTTCGTCTAATTTCTTATTTATTGGCTCAATGGTTTGTTTGAGCTTTTCAAATGCCTTCTTTAATTGTCCAACCTCTCCACTCAGTGACTTTATATCATTCTTAATTTTGTTTCTTATCTCTGTTAGGGCAAGCAATAACACAGTCTGTTGCGTTTGAACGGGGTTACTCCCCCCTACCGCCATTTCCTCTAACAGAGAAGCCTCCAGGTCTGAGTCATCTGAGTGTTCTATGTCAATATTGCTCTTTTTAGGAGGTCTGTAAGGAGGATTTTTGGCAGCTTTCTTTGCTCTAGTTCTTCCCATACCTGGCATTGATATTCTATTCCAGTCAAGGCTATGTTTTCTGTAAGCAGAGCTCTAATCCTCTGTGGGAATAGCAGGAGATGGAAGGGATGCAGCCAGCCGGAAACTCAGCTGCCATGCCCCCTGATGAGATGTTATCATATAACTGATGAATAATGTCCTTGCAGTTTCATTGGTCCTTATCTTGGGAAGGTCTGTAATGTGGTGCACACCAGGCAGAACAATGTGTTGTGTGCTATAATCTTTTGATCAATTATTATGGTTGTGTCCTTCACAGAATTCTAAGAGCACAAATAGCTGATGTTGGCATGTATACATGTGTAGCATCCAACAGAGCTGGTGTGGACAATAAGCATCATAGCCTTCAGGTGTATGGTAAGTCTCTTTGAGTGTGTGTGTCTAAAATAAAGTGAAATTGTAACGTTCCCTTCCTGAGTAAATTTCTTAAAGTGACGTCTATCTTGCTTTCTGTCCCACTTCTGATCCCTGTACAAATCCCTGCCATCTATTGAAATCTTTCATCCTTAAACATTTCAAACCTTTAAAAAAATGAAGTTTTAGCCTTTAGAACAGATGGTTCCTTACTTCTGGTTTTGAATTAAGGGATTTTAATATTTGTATTGTTTTATTTGTATCTGCCTGCAGGCCGTCTTTTGTAAGCCGCCCAGAGCCTGTTTACAGGGTGGGCGGGGTATAAATGTAAATATAAATAAATAAATAAATAGGGCTGCAACTAAACAACTTAATGTTCATAGTCATGTGTATCAGGAAGCGTCCTCCATTTTTGAAGCTTTTGGGAATTTTTATGTTTACATTGTTGTTTCTATACTTCCTTTCAGTGGCCATCTGCTCAGTTGCTGACACCATTGTCCTGGTGACCAAGGGGACGTTGTCTTTGTCATGTGTGATTTGATAATATAAACTAAAGTGCACCAGTTTATAAACTAAAGTGCACCAGTTGCCACAGCCAATAGGATTACATTAAGTGTGGACCAAATGGGTTCAAGAACTATGATGGGGGGGGGGGAGAGAACTGTGATGGAAAAGAAGGGAAATTGTTTTAAGCAGCAATCGGGGTAGCAAAAGGGCACTGGTCAGTTATGAAATAACACTGATGTTTAGTGAGGCATTCTGTTCTGGTTCATCTGCTTGCAGGCCCATAGCTACAGCGGGGCATCTTCGGGCTTGGCCCCCCAACTTACTGCCCAGCCCCCCTCCCATCCAGCTGGTTTATTTTATTTTTCGTGTGCACCATGGCCACGCCGAGCTGAGCCATCACCTTGCCCTGCCTGCTGTGTACCTCTGGCTAGCTGTGGGCGAGGCACTCCACAGGGCAGGTCTGATCCCTAGTCCAGCCCTCTCTCTCATCACTCTTTTCCAGCTTTTACTCTCTCATTGCTCCTGACATAGTACCCCCCAACTTATTTAAATGCCCTCCAAAGTCAAAAATCCTGGCTATGGCCATGTCTGTGTGCAACCTTAATTGAGACCAAATGGCATGACAACTACCTCTGCAAAGCAACTTGCAAATAATGTATGTGGAAAATTTTGTTTAGCATGGATCCTTTAAAGGAAAATATTATTCTCAACCTCTGTCAGCCTAGAGAACGTATTGCAGACTTCCTTGTTGGGCGAGATGTACTTTTAAATGAATGCTCTAATTTCTTCTTCATTGTTTTTCTGCAGTACCGCCAAGCATAGACAATAGTGGAGGAATGGAAGAAGTCACTACCATAAAAGGAAATCCAGCCTCCTTGTTGTGCTTGGCCAATGGAACACCAGCCCCCAAAATATTGTGGCATAAAGATGACCAACCCGTAAACCTTGACTTCCATGTGACTTTAGAAAACCAAGGAATGTCTCTTCATATTGCAAAGTCAGAGACTGACGACACAGGCAGATACACCTGTGTAGCATCCAATGAAGCTGGGGAAGTCAGCAAGCATTTTACTCTCAAAGTGTTGGGTATGGAATTTAAATTTTGCAATGCTATAATGTTAAGACCTTGGACCACTGGCCAGTCTCAGGCTGTCATAAGCAAGCAACTTAGATCAAGGACCTAAATCATTGTCTATAAAATTGCTGCCATAAACATTCAGTGTTTAAAAGCACCAGTTGCATTGGCTGAAATCTCAGGAAGCATGCAGGGAATCAGGAAGCATGCTAAACCTTGGCTTCCTTTGTGGGTGTTACCTAGATATGGCTAACTTCCAATGTGATTTGAGTGTCCATGTGGATCATTTTCAAATGGCAGTCATGCAATAAGTAGCCATCTTTTTCAGAGTTTCCCTAAAATGCTTTCAACAGCCTAAAGTGAATTAGCACCAATTAGGACCCGATCTCAGGGCTGATTCAGACAGCAATAGCATGGAAGAGGCTTCTCCATGGTGTCTTCCTAGGGCACCTGGGTTTGTAACTGTGTTCATCATTATGGTTTGTCCTTCTCCTTCTGCAGAACCTCCTCACATTAATGGATCAGAACATCCAGAAGAAATTTCTATAGTGGTTAACAATCCATTGGAGCTCCTCTGTATGTCAACTGGCATCCCAGTCCCTAAAATCACATGGATGAAGGATGGGCGCCCACTGCCCCAAACAGATGAGATTCATGTCCTGAGAGGAGGAGAGGTTCTTCGGATATCTAATGCCCAGGTAACTGGAACAGAATCATTAAATTAAGGGTCACCTTAGCCAAATGTTTCTACAACCATTACCAGCTTTTTCTTTAATGTAGATGAGTTTTGTTCCTAATCGGGTTTGTTTATTTGGTAGGTGGAAGATACTGGCAGATACACCTGTTTGGCTTCTAGTCCTGCAGGAGATGATGACAAGGAATATTTGCTGAGAGTTCATGGTAAAGTCCGTTTAGGATTTATTCTGCTGCATAAATGCTGTTGTACAGTTCTCCCTGCTTTTTCCTGAAGCTTTATAGTGCCTCCACACAAGCCCAGGATAAGACAGAAGAACTGGGGTTTTCTCAATTAGCACTGCATCTTTCTCTCTCTTCTCTTTATAAGTGGGTTTAATGAAATAGCAGAAATTTTTGGTATTTGTAAGTAATATTTTTTTAAAAGAATTCAGCTCGTCTTCTGGTCCATCTATTGGTCAAAAATAAGGAAGAGAAGAAAACATTCAATTATTGTGATAGCACAGTTTGCGAACATTCCAGATGTTTCCTAACATACTGATTCCATGTACACAAATCAGTTTCACTGATGTGGTACAATCTAAAGGACCTGTTTCTGAGAAATTCATACACACATCCAAGCTTTTGTGTACCTCTTTCCTAGTGGAGCTTCCAGACCTGTCTTACTAGGCAGTCCTAGGCAGAGTTATACCCTTCTAAGTTCATTGAAGTCATTGAGTTCAGAAGGGTGTAACTCTGTTTAGGACTGCACTGTTAAACACCAAATGGGCTGTGTTTTATGTATGCAGATTAGGAACTTGGATACACATGTATTACACATTTTGCTGGATCTGAGGCACAGTTCCTTTTTACAAGCAGTTGCAGAGGAAAGCAGTCATATATAGATCATGACCTGCAAAAGAGTCAGGAAAATGCTGGAATAGGATTCAGCATTTGGCAGTGAGGAAAGTCAATCAGTTAAGGCTGCTCCGCATAACTGTTTTGGCGTGCGCTAGTGATAGGAAAATCCTAGCTTTAAACATGGGGTAGCAAAGGTTTGCCAGAAATCAGATCCAGGAAGAATTCAACCTATGTCAGTGCATACAGGCAAATACTAAGCAAAGACTGAAGAGGGCAGAAGAAGATGTGTTGAAACAATTGTGTGCATTGGGTCTCGGGCATTAGAAACATATAGTATGACCTTAAATTTGGAGGAACACCCACAACAGATTAATTTACTCTGAGCTTTGCAAAAGTTCTCAGCTAGGTGTCACTTATCAGCTTATCCATACCTACCTCAAATTAAGTTACCGTACGCACTGTGTTTTCCTCCCCTTTAAAACAGTTCCCCCTAACATTGCCGGCACGAGTGGGCCCCAGCATCTCAGTGTGCTGCGGAACAGGCAGATTATACTGGAGTGCAAGTCGGATGCGGTGCCACCTCCTACAATCGTGTGGCTCAAAGATGGGGAGCTTTTGCAGGTGCGTCCTCTGGTCTTTGTGCCAACAGTTTTGTTGTGGTTTTGTATCCCTTGACCTAAATTAGCCATGACCTTATGAAGATGTGCAAACTGCCCATACAGTGGGTGGTTAGGATGGTGACAGCCTGGCCTAATATGACCTCCTCATTGATATTTCCAAAATATTTGCCAGAGTAGAGCCCTATGCATGTGGACCTGAGCCACAAAATTTGTACTCTTCAGATTTGTGGCTGAGCTTTATGCAGCAGGCCTCTATGCAGACATTATTTATTTCATTTATACCCTGCCTTTCTCCCCAGTGGGGGCCCATAATGGCTTATGTCATTCTCCTCTCCTCCAGTTTATCCTCACAACAATCCTATGAAGTAGGTTAGGTGGAGAGTGAGTAGAAAAAGAGTTGATCTTTATACCCTAAGGAGTCTCAAAGCAGTTTACGATCTCTTTCCTTTCCTTTCCATACAACAGGCACTTTGTGGCAGGGGTCGTTTCGTAGAAAAAGAGCTAGGGGAACTCATTAGCATAACTCATTAGCATATGCCACACCCCCTGACATCACTGGAAGTGTGTCATAAGGCCACACCCCCTGACATCACTGGAAGTGTGTCATAAGGCCACACACCCCGCCCCCCACAGTCCCGGCCGAGCCCCATCGGCGGTGGACCTGCAAGGCCGGCAGGAGTGCAAGGAAGCCCCACAAAGGCCCTCCAGGCAGGGGTGGGGAGAGGCAGGGAGGAAGCAACTTACCCTCCCTCTTCTCCTGCCTCCTCCTGGCTGAATGAGGGCCGGAAGCGGGGCGGCCGGAAGCGGGGGGCGGGGCTTCGTCATGTTCCCCGCCCCCCATACCTCACCCGGGGGAACTGCGATCCCCCGTGTTTCCCCCCGAAATGACCTCTGCCTTGTGGAGTATGTGGGGCTGAGAGAGTTCTGAGAGAACTGTGAGAGGCCCCAGGTCACCCAGCAGGCTTCATGTGGGGGGGGGGAATCAAACCCAGTTCTCCAGATTACAGTCCCCCACTCTTAACCACTACATCACACTGGCTCTCATAAGTGATTGGCCCCAGGTCACTCGGCAAAGTTCCACAGCAGAGTGGGAATTTGAACTTGGGTCTCCCAGATCCTGGTCTGACACTCTAACCAATTCCACCCCACACTTGGGGAATGGGGCCACTCAATGCTGCACATACAGGCTGCATGTCTGCCAGTACTCTATTTGGATATTTGAAATCTGTTAACCTCACTTAAAAGTTTGTTTATGTATTCTTCCTTACCTTATTTTTTCCATATTTTTCCATAGTTTTCCATATCCCATGAACAAGAATGTTGTTGTTATTGTACGTAGTTAAAAACAATTTGTTTGTGAAAACCTTTCTTAGGCAACTCCTCGAGTTCGCATCCTCTCCAGTGGGAGATACCTGCAGATCAATAATGCTGACCAAAGTGATGTGGCAAACTACACCTGCGTTGCCAGTAATGTTGCAGGACAAACTGCAAGAGAGTTTGTATTGGCTGTGAATGGTAAGAATGGGGGAAGAAACCTTATACAAGCTTTATACATGGCATATCTACAGGTTAGCACAATTTGGAAACTTACATAAGGGTATTAGATAGGCAGACCCCAGATTTTAGCTGAGTCTTTACTGAGATCCCTCTTTTCTGTTTTCCAGTAAAATTTGTATGCAATGGATGGAGTTGGGCTCTATATGGAGAAAAGTGTTCTTTGCAGTAGGAAGTGGTGCCCGCCAGGGTAGAGAGGCTAGAGTTGCCAGGTCTGCGCTGGAAAATACCTGGAGTCTTTGGGGGTGGATCCGGGAGAGGGTGGGGTTTGGGGAGGGGAGGGGCCTTGGCATGGTACAACGCCATAGAGTCCACCATTCAAAACAGCTGATCTCTGTCAGCTGAAGATCAGTTGTGAAAGCGGGAGATCTCCAGGCCCCACCTGGGGGCTGGCAACCCTAAGAGATGCAGTCCTCTGATGCCAGTGTGTTTCTTAAGGGGGGGGGGATTTAATCTTTAATATAGGAAAGAGCAACGCCATAGCTATGATACTGGAATAACATCGCTGGCACTTTGATATTTGATATTGTATTGTTTTAGTGAGTTATTTTAATGGTTTGGTGATTTGATTGTTTTAATCTGTATTTTATTTTGTGTGAGCTGCCCTGAGCCTGCTTTGGCGGGGTAGGGCGGGATATAAATTAGAATATAAATTAAAAATAAATAAATAAGTCATTGTACCTTTATATTTACACAGTGCTGTTAATAAAAGTTTTTCTACCACTTTCAAGATACTTTTCAATTTTACATATCATGACAACCTTGTGAGTCATTTTGTTTCCCATTGTTGAGAGGAACTGGGGCTGATAGACAGTGGCTCCCTTCTATTAAGTCTCTTCCCAACAGAAAAAGACTTCCTTCAACAAGGGAAGATTTTTCTTCATCAGAGGCAACCTTTCACAAAAATTCATTTCTCCAGTGGAGGAAGTCTTTATTGTTGTAAGGAAGACTTAGCGAAGGAGAGTCATAGAATCCAGCTTAACAGAAGGAAGTAAAAGGATCCAACTCAGGGACTGTATAATGTATTAGATAAGCCAATATTTCAGACCAAGGTCCAAGGTAGGCAGCATATCTATGTATCCAAAGTGAGTATCATACTAAACTTGTTATAAATTTATACTGCAGGGCTACATACCAGAAAATTAAGTGGGATAAAAAAATAAATAATTTTCTTTGTACAAGCAATATGCCAGTGTTTGCAGTCTGGAGCATATTAGGTATTCATATAAAACTGTAATGGGTTTTTATGCAGTGTGTTAAAAGAGTTATATAGTCCCACTGCCAACTTCTGTGGACTGAAGCAGATTTTTGGAAGTTATTTTCACATATAAACCCAGCCTTTGTGGAATGGCAGAGAAGCCTGTGCCTAATGAGAGACAGTGGTGGAGATTTCAACAAGTCTCAGAGGAAACTGTTTCTGATGCTATCTGGAATTTTTCCTTTATATAGTTGCTCCTACGATCCAAGGTGGTCCTCAGTCTTCTGTGACTGTGAATATTAATACATCCGCTGCCTTGGAGTGTGTTGCGGAAGGTATTCCAGCTCCAAGAGTCACATGGAGAAAAGATGGAACCGTTTTTGCAGGAAACAGTGCCAGGTAACTTCTGATGGTTCAAGTGAAAAAATTGCAATACCCTCTATAGTTGTTTACTAATATTAGAAAGAAAGCTGATTTATTTGAATGTAGTGTTGGTGGAGAGTTGGTGTTGGAGGAGAGCTGCCAAAAAGAAAAATGGATCCTAGATCAAATCAAGTCGGAACTCTCCCTGGAAGCTAAAATGACTAAACTGTGGTGATCATACTTTGGTCACATTATGAGAAGAAAAGAGTTACTGGAAAATGCAAGGAAGAGTTGAAGCCAGCAGGAACAGAGGAAGATCCAACATGAGATGGGTTGACTCAAACAAGAAAGCCGCGGCCCTCAGTTTGCAAGACCTGAGCAAGGGTGTTAACGATAAGAAGTTATGGGGTTCATTGATTTCATAGGGTCACCACAAGTGGGAAGTGACTTGACAGCACTTAACACACATAACACAAGAAGAAGATCCTTCCCCTTTGGCTTAAATGAGAAACTGAAGGGATAAAAAGGTTGCATAAGCAAGAAGACCTATTCAGGTAGTCATTTATGAATTCAAACTCTATGAAGGGTGGCCTAGACACAAGTGAAATCATATGGCCCACTCCGGAAATGTTTTGGGGAAGAACAGATTTTTAGCTCTGGACTGTTTCAGGTTCTGAACTGGATACTTGAAAGGCCATTCAGAGCTCTGAAACAGAGACTGTAAAAGCCACAAAGATCCGACAACATACGTGCAGAGGACTCAGCAAGTTTTCTGGATTGCTGATGTTGTCCCAGAGCCAGTGTGCTATAGTGGTTAGAGGATCTAACTAGGATCTGGGAGACCCAGGTTCTAATTCCCCATTTGCCATGGCAGTTTGCTTGGTAACCCTGGACCTATCACATACTCTCAGCCTAACCTGCTTTACCGGGTTGTTATGAGAATAAAATTTGGGAGAAAAGCAGGGTATAGATGAAGTAAATAAATAACCGAATGAATTTTTCCATGATGTTTATGAAATAAAAATAAGGTTGGTTAAAACAGTTTATGCATCATGAGCAGTGCTGATATTATTAGTAATTAGTTGGTTGGGGGCTGCAAGGAATCACCAGACAAGGAATAATAAACAAGGACAATGACTTCTCACCCTGCTGTGAAACTCACTGTGCAGCCTTGGGCCAATCACTGTGTCTCAACCTAACTTACCTCACGGGTTTGTAGTGATGATGAAATTGGCTATGAGTGCTCTTTGAGGAAGGGTAGGATAAAATAATAATAGTGTCGCGTCCTCCCTTGGTCCTCAGGGTAGCGCCTCCTGTGGCCGTGTTGCCGAGGTCTGGGTCAGACTCCGGCAGGACGGGCAGCGGTCGGGTCCAAAAAGGGAGAGGGAGTGAGGGGCCTCAGACAGGCAGGGTATGGGGTTAAGATAACCCCGAGCGTCCCTCTGCCAGCACACTGCGAACGTTTCCCACTCTCTCTCTTGCTTGCTGTTCGTCTCTCTGCGTTTCCCTCAATTTCACAGCATGCTTCTCCTCCTCGGCCCCTTCTCCACCCTGCCTTTTATCTTCCCGCCCCGCTCCCGGGACTGCCCCTCCACCCCCGGCTTGGGACACACCCCTCTTTATTTACTGAGATGCCCTCCGGGGTGGAGGTTGGTATGCCGGCGGCCCTGGCAGCCTCTGTGCTGCGCTGCCGCTCCACTGCTGCTCCCGCCGCTCGGCGCTTGCTCTCAGTCTGTTGGCCCCTCTGTCTTGCTCCTCTTCTTCCTAGAGGCCACTCCGCGGGCCCCGGTCTCGTCCCCTGGCGTGGCCGGTGTGGCGTGCGTCAAATGAGATCGCTGCCCCCGTCTCTCGCGCTGGATTGCCGGGTCCTCCTCTCTCTGGTAAGACGTACGGTGGGGGTCCTGTGGGGTTTGTCGGGGGTTCTGGGGTCTGACCCTCACAGCCCATGACCCCCGGAGCGGGACAAATAGTAAATACATAAATTGTTGGGAAATTCCCTTTCCATGGCACAATCACCAGGCCCTCAAAAGCTGAGTTGTATAACTTAACC